ACCCCTACATTTTTTTATTTATACACGTCTTAAACACACGGATCCAAACAGATACATACATTATTCTCAGGTCAACTCACAAAACAAAAATTAGTAAAAACACAAAATATATTCATCAAAAAAGAAAAATTGAAGATTTATTTAAAGATTATAAAGCCAAAAAAATTAACCGTTCACTTTCATTAGTTTGGCATCATCACATTGTAAAAAATAACATTGTAAAACTTAAAACTATATGTGGCTAAATTAATTCATATCTAAGAGTTCAGACTTTGTGCCTGTTATAACTTATAGGTAGATATACTGATAAAAACAATCACATATTCACATCTTACCACCGATGCCTATACCGCGAATATTCTGCACTGATACCGTGGTATCGGCTAAACTCTTTGGGAATCCGGCTGCAAGAGAGTTCTATATGCCACTCGTATACTCTGTCGAATACTACGGTGAAGCTTTCGAGCGGGAAATACCGATATATTCCGAAGGTCAGTCTTGGGAAAACGCTCATTGCCGCCGGCACCGGGCGTTTTAAACGTCTATTCTCTCTGCCGCGATCCGAGTGTGGTTCTCGATTAAACCGTTTTAACGTCGCCGCCTGCAAGTCCATATACAACAGGTATATCGTACATAAATATATATTGTAATATTGTTTTAGTCATAATATAAATAAGAACTATAAGAAACATGTTCAACACTATATTTTTTTTCCGTCTCATAGTTCACGCATGTGCAGAATCGTCTTGTGTTTTTGTGCATTCAGAATCTTATAAGTGTAACGTCAACTCGAGTATGTCACGAGTCGCATAATACCCGTATTATAAATTATCCCTTAGGTATGTGTACAAAAAAAAAGTAGAATAATAATATATCGCCCCTTAAAAAAATATGCGCACTATCGTCATCGAGCGTAGCACGTCTTCTTATTCCTCGTTCCATGATTTTAGAGGTGTGCAGTGCGACAACATTCCGGTTCAGCAGCAGAATCGAGAAACTCGTCGGCCGTTTTCCGAGGATAACATATGCCGCGGGAGACGCGCGTCAAGGCAAGAAGACGCAAATCAGTCACCCGTAATATAATTATATATTATTCACAAGTTCCTTGAAAACGAAGATTCCTCGGATAGGTAGGTACGCCTCTATACGACCGTTATTTACTGCGATTGATTGTCTTAACATAAAATAGTGTGATACGCGTATATGTATATTCACAGTGGTCGTATGGGTATATATATATGTGTGCGTATATATGTATATAAGATGCATTGGCATTACAATATATGCATACTAATATTATGTATGTAAATTGTAGCCAAACACGGAATAATTGCGTTGGACGAGATGGGGAAAATTGAGTGAAATACAAAGCTTTTGGCGCCGAAAAGTCTCCAGTTTATCGCGATTTTTAAGTCTATAGTGTTTGGCTGTAATTATATTTCAAAAGTAAAAACATATATTACACCGGAGATCCGTGGCTATAGGCTGGACGCCTAGTTTGATACTCGTATATGCAGTCAAGAAAATAATAAGCACTAAATGATATTAGACAAAAATAAATTTTCGTGTAACGTACTGCATGTTTTCAACATTGTAATACCTATTCATTCTCAAAATAGACCCTCCCACCGGGCATACAACAGCAGTATATTATAGTGGTTTAGGTCCAGTAAAATATTTATTCGACGGTAATCTATACATAATATATATATATACGTTTTCACACTATAATAAACAACGGTCCATAAGACTGTGCACACACAGAAAATGGTTATAATAAAACTTGTATAATATTGTATTATAAACGTCGATTATTATTTTTATATTATTATAATAAATTATTCTAGTCGGTTATTGGCGTGAGCACGTGATATAAAATCAAGTGATGTATGATTAATGAATTTTGAATTTTGTAATAATTACGGGGTTTAACGGTAGGTAAGTGAGAATATATTGCAGACGATCACTATCGACTGGTTTATTTTTAATTTGATATTCGTAAACGATATAAACGCGTATCATATTATGTATATACGAACCACGAACGGTATTAAATATATTACATATTATTATTATTATTATACCTACACGCATCGACTCAAATGTCTCACACTCTCACCGTGTTCCACGGTACATTATATACATGCGCATGCATAGCTATAATACAGGTATTATTTCACGAATAATATGGTGTCCAATATTATTGCAGTTGTCGACAGTAAAAAACACTACAATAATAATATATTATAAATAAGCACGTCCTTGAGAAATTACCTTTGAGGGGAAAAACACGCACGCGAAATACATTTGTTTTCGTTTTCTACGCACACACACACTGAAATACACGCGTATTCGGTAATACCCATGTAATAATATATACATTGGCACTCGGTCGCCACTGTCGTTCCTTACTGCAGTAATGATACATACAAACACACACGCACATTTATATTATAATACAAGTGTATATGTATGTATGTTGTACATAGGTATAAGCACTGCGCAGCGCATGATATTATATTAAGGATACCTTTAAACAGTCGATAGGTACAGTGTTTGTTTTGTTCTCATTTCGAATCTGATATTCTAATTTCCATCTCCCACACGACTCTCTCGCGCCGGTCTTACACGGCAGCACCAGCAGGTGACACTGACCTCTTAAGCACACACACACACACACACACACACACACACGCGCGCGCGCGCCGGTATAATATATAGGTATATATGTTTTATGTGAACGCTCGTTCCTTATAGCCGCTCGCCGTTGGTGGCCGATTCCGCGCGCCACTGTGGCTTCCCCGGTCGTAGTCGAGTATGATATAGAAACTAGATTACTGACCTCAGATATCTGCAAAGTTGCTGCTGTGCGTATAGGGTATACATATATGTGTATATAAAAAAACGTGTATAAATAAAATAAATAATGGTTACCACACGTCGTCGTTGTGAAACGCTATACTTATAGAATAGGTACCTACCTATACCGAGCGCCGAGCGGCATATACCCTCCAACTGCTGTAGGACCGTTCAAATATATAGATGATATTCGGAGGTACATATTTGTGTATTATGCCCATTGCCGAGTGTTATTGGCACCCAACAGCCTTATACCAGACATAATCGATAGGGTTTACAATTTTTACATCGTACCTACTATCTACTTCTGAGCTATAATATCATGCACACAGGTATTAGGACATTATAGGTATATACATGTAGGTATCGTGTAAGACCTTTCAGCATTTCGGCCGTTTATGGACTTTGACTATGAATTTTATTGGCAATGACGAATTGTCGGTGATATAGCATAATATAATTTTAATTATTGCGCGAGTACACGGATCTTATCGAAACTTGTGAAACAGTGGGCGGGACCGACGTCTGAAGGACGGAGGGGTGGAGTTGCGTGTTTCTGTACTGCGCGGCGATTGCGCTACACCACCTCGTAAGACACGCATTGTTTACTAGGCATAAGTACTTGTCATCGTAATACCACGACGACAACGTCCGTACATTTTCGATTCGCCGTGTCGTATAGAATCGCATGTCCGCCTGTGTTAGAGTGAAAGTGTGAAATCATTTCTGCAATCCGAATATAATATACATAAGTTTAGTTTACCATTTCCAAAAAAAAAAAAAAAACACCGCAACGGGTCCAATAGGTATCCTTAAGCGAAATGTAAAAACGCAATAACTGAAAATCAGATTCTCCAACCGACAACTTTGCCAACTTTCGTCGATCGAAGCGTCAGGAAAACAATCGGATCATACACCCGAACATGGTCTGGATACTGAATAATAATACGATTATATTATTATTATTATTATTATTATAGAGAGAAGCTCGTATGTATGGCGCGCAGGGGGCTTATAAAAATATAAACATACCTCACATGTCGTCGTTTCGTTGAACTCCGTGACCCTGAATTTGAAGCGCACACACACTTATACCTATGTACCCGGGATCTTTATCTTTTTTTCTCCTCCACTCATCTACTTTTTATTATTTTTTTTGTCTGGTATTTTTCTATATACGACGACGACGGGTATTAATATTGACCCACGGTGTCCTTTACACACGGCATACCGCATGTCGATGTATATACCATACCTCGTGTGTAATATAGGAACGCGCGCGTTCTATTACTATTATTGTATATGATAGCGGTCCGCCTAGCTGTTATTATTATCAATATTATATTGTGTACGCGCCCGACAATAAAATATTATTATAATCCTGCACCGCGGGTCAGCGCGAAATACAAATCGGTTGATTATCACTCTCGTCGCTGCACGCATTGCACACGGGTAAAATCGAAAAACCACGTTATTTTAGGTGCCATACACTAAACTATCTATAAATAATTGTTTTATGTGGTCGCAATAAGTGCGTCACAATAACCCCGTACCCTTACGCCTTTTTGCGAATCGACCAAACGAAAAAATGGGTTCATTAAAACCAAAGCGCGAGTGGTATGCGCATATATATACACCTGCAGGTATACATATTATATTATATATTTTAATATAGTATTATTATATTATACATCGGAATTGCAGCAAAAACGGGAATGAAATAACGTAAACGAAACAAAGGGAAACGTTCACTTCATTGTTCTTGTATTCTTAACCCTGCAGAGATCTCGGTGTACAGATGACCTATTCCGTGTATTATGAGACCTCCGTGCCGGAGAATATAAGCGCATATAATATAAGTTTTATCTAGTCTGGTGCACCGGCACCGGGCACACCAGCACCGGTGCGCACAGCGCAGTGTTCTTGGCTAATGCGCTTCTTCTTATGCAAGGATGGGTGTGTGTGTGTGTGTGTGTGTGTGTGTGCGCGTGTGTGCGTACATAAACGTTGACCCATAAATAACCAGCAGACCTCTATTGTCAACGCTACCGTTTTTTCTAAAGGGAGAGAGTGAGAGAGCGAGAGAGAGGGTTGGAGAGATGGAAAAAAGAAATAAGGTCTTATAAACACACACATAAGCGTTTATATACCTACATATATATCATTTATTTTACATATAGTATATATGTATAGCGCCAGTACAATGGAACGGTCGCGCGCGCAATACACACGCATGCATTTTATACGTATACGGAAAACGCGTATCGATGTATAATAATTGTACGTAAAAAATAATAATACAGACAATAATAATATATAATATAATATGTATGACGATACACCGGAGACGTCTTTACCCCGGCGAAATCCAACGATATGATGCCGTCGGAGTTTTCATTTTTCGCACGCGTCCTCGATTTCCACCTCCTCCTGCTGCAGTCGGGTTTCCATGAGGTACGTGGCCGTGGTCAGGTAACCCGTGTGACCGCGAGGGGACGCGGACGGGATACAAGCCAAAAATTTCTTTTCGTTACTGGGTTCTTCGTTTGCGTTCTGTGGAAAATAAAATGGTCGCGTTTTTAACCACATACGTGTTACTTCTACAAATATTATATAATATACTATTTGATCGCGAGAATTGTAGAAAAATAGTAAACATTATACGTCGATCGGATAAAATATCAACCTGACATAATCGACATCGCGCCAATAATGACAATAATATTTATAGCCATATAACCTGTATCGCTTACAAACCCAAGAGCCTTTTTTCGGGACACTATTACCTATAAAGGTACGTGCAGTGGCTTGGCGCTGAGAAAAAGTGAACATTTGGTGGTCTCTCAATATATACACCAACGACGGAACTTTTATGTACTTGTCAACAACTTTTATTTATGTTGACAGTTAGAAAACACGTATTAGTCGTGAGAATTTTTAAGTAGGTCCGTATTATATGTATAAATAGGTATACACTCGGAAAATGTATACAAGTATAAGCATTGAACATGATAACTAAAAATACAATTATTATTCTAAGTACCTATACCTATCTACCTACCACAAAAACAATTGTATGGTTGTTTGTTTTTTTTTTTTAAGCGGCAACGCTTAGTGTTACCTTACATTATATTATTATGTACCTACTGATTATATTGGCTTTTCGACGTAAACGTATGTAAAAAAAGACACTGCAACTGAACGCGCGTAATTGTAATTTATTTGAGTTCATCAAGGACGCAACACTATACGCTATATTATCATAAACTCGACTCCGTAAAAAATTCAAGAGCGCGCTTTACAAACACGTATTATATCTGACAAAAATCTATATGGCATGTACGTATATTATGAGCTCGCGCGTCCTTGGGATATACGAAATAGCGTGGAAAGTCAAAATAAGTAGCTAAAAAAGGTATGCAATTTTCAATAGAATCGGATGGGAAAACCTTGAAACGAATAGCACATAGTACTGCTATGGTGCATAATATATTATATTTAGAATAATCTCATCGCATCACGTTTAAGAATATTACCATATCGTAATTATACTCATTTATTGCTAAACTATTATAATCGGGCGCTTATTCGTTTGTACGTTATTATATAATATATATAAGTACATTATACATCTCTATTATTAAAACATATATATATATATATATATATATATATATACACCTATTCACATAAAACCCAAATTTAAAATTAATTCCTAGCAGTGCATATTGCAGTCGGACTACGTGATTATAATTCGTAATAATTATCATACTAATTTACTATAATATGATATATTATACTATCGTGTGAGACACCACTAAATACATTATATACTTACTTGAAGAATTTTCGCACACACATACATTTATACTTACACACAATTGACATTATGAATTATGATTAGAATTAGCTAATGAAAAAACAGCAAAGTATAATAGTATTACATTTTATTTTCGGGCATTATTCGCAAGACACGATTGCTTTTTAGTGCAATTTCTCATTTCTGGTCTTGATACAAACATGACAAACTATATTAGCGTATGAGAGCAGCTCTAATGCACCTATATAGGTTAGGTCACCCTAAACGGCAAATATGAATCTAAAAAAAAAGAACTATCATTGCCGGGAAATCGGAAATAACCAAATAATTTCGAATCGTTAAGTTTATAATATAATATCCTATACATATACAGTACACACAGGTTTGACGCGGAGCGGAGCGGATATAAAAACTTTGATTTTATACATAATAATGTACGTACAAAACCATATAGTTCACTGACATTTGTAAACAATAGAATCGGTCGAAATAATTTAATAGATTTTTGTTTCTTTTAAGACTATAAATTACAATGTTTAAATGACGATAGCTCGACGTAATGATCTATACGTATAAACACTATTGGTAGGTACATCATACATACTCGTTGTAACTTGTAGTAGTTTTTTATAACGAAAGAATGATTAAAATACGAAATAAACGCCATTGTATTACTGTACACGCGTTCATACAGGTATAACTACGCGCCTGCACCATCGATTATTCTTTCTTTTGTCTGCATGATTGAATCATTAAAATATATGAAAAAACAAACATAAATTGATTATTTGGACAGTTTGCGTACAATACACGTTTACGGTTTACCAAAAACAATGTAAGGATATTATTGAAAACGACTACTTAGTATTTTGTTGCACCATCCGATATATTATATTGATTGTATAATGCCATCCGCTCGGACAGCCGTCAATTGATGACGGTTTTTAATGTACAATAACGGTAAATGCGTATTTGGTGATTACCAAAGTACGTCACAAACTTGTTGCCTATATATATTATATTGTTATCAAATAAATACTTTGTATCTTAGTAAAGTGGTACTGATGACACGTTAAAAACTATATTACTCGATCGGATTTAGAAAATAACTCCAATATACGCACTGAGTGCATTACTCTATAGTGATGACCTATTGAATTTTTTTTTTGGTAATACATTAATCTTTTCATATAAAAAACCAGTGTCTTCCATATATATATATATTCCATTTATCGTCGTGTAAAGTTTTTCAGATGACCATAAACTCAATTACAATATATTTAGAAATATATGTGTGTATATGCGTATATAATGAACTTAAATATAATATATAGGTAAAATGTCAAACGCGTTTTCTACTGTCGCTGAAAATGTCATTCGACTATATGAGCAAATGCACATAAATTAAAGGTAGGTACCTATACGATGTCTATAATAATTGAATAATATAATATATTATAGTATATTACCTAGAATCTATAATGTAACAAAAAGTTGAAAAAAAAACTTTACGTCTTAAACATATAGGTCTAAAATGTTTAAAAGTTCAACTATTTACTGTACCTATATACATATAGTATATACCATCTATACACCTACGGATATATATAATATACTTGAATTATCGATAAGAACAAATCTCAAGACGGACTATTATTGTATACGTAAGATGGTTTGTTGGCTGTGTATATATTATATATATTCGTATAATATATAAATATAAGTTTTGTACTATAGGATTATATCGTAAAACGATTAACAAATATATATATATAAGCGTGATCACACTCAAACAGATATATATACATATATATATAACTACACATAAAGCGCCGCAGGTCCGTGTACAAGCGAGAGCGAAAGATACGCGAGGTATATAATGTCAAAACGAAAAACTGGGCGGTAATAGATCGCGACGAGGATCGCGCGCGTTGTTACGATTTATCGTATTTATACGGTATATTACAGATCGGAGTACAGCGCGCGCGCGAGAGAGAGTTATCCGGTCGTAGTTGCTTTATAATAATAATAATATAATTATCGTGTATATGATATATATTATAATAAAGTACCGTGTGATGATGTTAACGCCGATATATGGATACCAGTTGGCAGTTAAAACAAAATGAAAAAAAATTCGACCGCGTCCATCTGTGAGCGATAGAAATGTGCGTATATTGCCGATAGACTTTAACGCACTGACACATACACTATTTTCACCTCGTGCGACCGCGGCCGTTCTCGGTCCATTGCAGCTACAGCAGTGGCCGCGGGAAAGTGAGCTCGCGGTTTCTTCGGTACTTTATGCGCACGACCATCCCGGCACAGTTAGGAGGGTAGGCACGAGGGAAAAGCACCGAAATATACAAATGGTATATTATGCCATGGTGCGTGAAACTAATCAAATTCGGAAAAGAATTCGACTCGCAGTCGTTGTAGAGATAAATTCAAAATCCGATTGTACATCATAATAAACTATAATGTCGTGAGAACAGAACCGTGGTCAGTCATTGGGAAGTTTTTTAAAATCTAAAAAAAATCAGTGGATTAGTTTTCGATTCCGGTTTGCGTTCACACCGGGGGTGGATTGTTCAGTGGTGCCAATATATAAGACGGCTTAGTACGCGGCTTGCAGCTACGTCTGCAATTTCATCGTTTATATAATATATATATATATGTCATATAAGCCAATATCTATATAGACTATATACTCATTATAATTGGCCATCATTATACATATATATCAGTTATTTTCAACCAATACGGGTCCTTGTAGTCATTTTGCAACCCCCGGGGAGTTATTATATACCGCCGATACCGCATAATTTCACCCCTGCAGTCTTTCTCGCATACAAATCGACGTCGCGATGATGACTATATACGATACCCGTCTCCCAACCATATATCGCCAACGCACCAAGCCAAGAACACATCCATAGACTACACATATTATATAGCGTCGTATACGCGACGGTATTATTATGAGAACAATTAGCCGCGGTACAAATATAATATATATATACGATATTATAACGTCGGAACATATACGCTGCTGTGGCGCGGTGATAATATGATGGCCGCCGCCGCCGCCGCTGCCGTCACGTCGGACGCATAGGAATCTCAACAATTCCCCATATAGGCTCCGGGAGAGAAACAAAAACGAGGTGGTCCCGATAAAAAATTATAACGTTTGACGTGGACCAGTTCTGCTGTGCACGCGTGTATATTTGTCGAAAACAAATTACTCGCGCGACCGGTCCGGTGCATATATAGGCACATATTATATATATTACACATCATATATATAGGTACCGGTTCCGACGTGTGCCCGTGTGTGTACGCCCTCGCTTTGCGTATGTGTATATTATGTGTGTGGATGTGTGTGTGTGAGCGCCTATTTTGTTTTTCTATCCGCGTATATTATATATATTGCTTCGTCGTCGCGTCTCTTCTGCTGCCGATCGTCTACGTTATATATATATATATAATATATATAGGTACATTTCGATATAATATAATTATCAGGTATACCTAAAACTACTACAGGTAAGCCTATACGTTTCATAAGAATATAATGATATTTATGTATATACATATATATAGAGTGTGTGAGAGAGAGATACATTTACTATTGCACGCCGCACGTGCGAGCGAATTATATTTATAGGCATTACAGATATACCCATCGACATTTCGTATTTATATTATATACGTATAATATATGTACCTGCGGTAACGAAGCGGGCGGCGGTCTACTGGCAGTGGCGAACGTGGTCACGGTCCTGTTGAGCACTTGGTATTCTTTTTCCAGACACTCGACCGTCTTCAGTTGGACGAAACCGTGGTCCAGCAGCGTCTGACACGTGCGCATCACTTGTTCTATGCATGGCGAAAACGTGCAAATCCTCCCACCGCCTGAGGGTCAAAAAAATCACAAGCCTTTAATACAATATGTATACCTATACTAAATATTATAAATAAAAACGAACATCAGCTATTTGAAGACGTTTTCAATCATGGGCTTACAGTATGAAATAAAAGTGCAATAATAATACTAATAATAGTAACAATAATGACCAGCTGCGCGGACAGATACATTTAATGAATCCAACTGGTAAAGTACTCTGTATTAGCTTGTACAAAACAATTCAATTGACGAATGACGAGTACGATGGAAAATGGATGTACCTATATAATATTATATTATACTATAGTCATGTTTCTTAATGGTTTTGCAAATGGTCGTTTGTTGATTCGTAAAAAAACATAACACATTTTGTCCATCATACCGATCGGGCTAATAAAGTGCTAACATTTTCGAAAACAGATTGACATTTTTCTTGAAGTTTACTAAAGAATGACTTTTCCGTTTTTAAAAAAATATTTTAGCTTTTAATACACTCTAAATTTGATTACTTAAGTTTTATTTATAAATTAAGCTAAAATACATAGACGATAAGAGATTTGAAACATACGCTTTAGTGTGTGCCTAAACGCAGTACACATAAATTTATAAAAGCTATTCTATCAATTGGTATCTATATATTCTATAATATCCATGCGAATTTTGCAAAGTAAAATTAACTTTGGAAATCGTACCAAAAATGTGTTGGTTATTATTGGATTGGTCCCAATGGTTGTTGGAACTTTATTTATTTAAAATGACCAATATTAATTTAGTTCTGCCAAGTTCTAGTCAATAAAGCGACTATTTTAAAACATCATTAAAACCGTCGAATTGTTTACACTTGGTTTTTTTTAATACAATTTTTTTAAATACTCTACTAGGTTCATACAAATGGAGATGTATTCAGAATTCACTATGATGACTTTTATTAATTTTTGGATGAACTATTTTTTAATAATTTTTTACAGCAGAAACATTTTAGGGCGATCCATATTTCATACCTAAATCACCTTAGCATTTATGTTGAACTGATTTATTTTGTTCAAAATCCACGGAATATCGTTTACACTCAGGTATTATTTATAATATCCGGTATATAAATATCACGATTGATGTAACAGTAACAAATAATAACAATTACAATATAATATAACAGTAAAAATATTGCTGTACATGTTAATGTTTACAGCCACAGTGTGTAGTGTGTGTATTTCATATACATTTTCAAACGCATACCTATACCATCATCTTAAAACTTTATCTCAGGCTTGAATCGTAAGTAGGTTCTTAAATTAATTATATAAAACTATTATGTTTGACAAAATCCGCGGTAAAGTTTATTAGCACGTTTTTTTTTTTTGATTCGGATTATAAGTGGCGACCGTTATTCACGGGGTGATTCATTTTACATAATATATACGCTCATCATTTCACAATTCTCTAACGTTTTTGGAAATATTTAATTCACATAATTTTAAGCCGTAACACAAAACAACATTTATGGAAAACATGTTGTATTATAATTTGTCATCGTTATTATTTATAACACATATGATACTTGGAAATGTCTCATCAGTTTTTTACAGACGAAAAATATGTACAATGAATCTAAATTCGTTTACAAAATTAAAATTAAGGAGAAACAAACACACCTCCTCCATTCCTATATAAGTAAAACAGGGTACCAAGTTGGCAATGTTGGATCTAACAGCAGTAAGAAATATTATAAAATTATAACCGATAGTAACTCCTAACAAAACATTTTCATAATTTTATATGTTTGAACAATTTGCCTATACATAACTCCTTAAAATGATATCGTTCGTGGTAAATAGTAGGTAATTGTATATTTTTAATATTAGATGTTAATAATATGAATAATAAGAATCTGAACATCTTATACACTCGCTTCTATTTTCGCATACGGGCTAGGTTTATTCAACTGATCCCAATTGGATAAAAGCTTTGTAAACAATAAATCTAATATCAATTTAATGAACATTTTTTCTGGTATTCGCGCATACTATACATCCATTTAGTCTATGTTACTTTTGCAGGAAGTTTTTTTCTACCTAAAATATATTTCAAATTACTCTAAATACATATAACATTTGTATTAAATGCATAAACAATGTTTCTTTGTATGCAATTACTGTATTACTAATACATATTATGACAACTATTGAGTTATTCGACCGTTTTTGCAAATAGAGCATTGTTCAAAACGCAATATAATTTATCTTACCGTCGACTAACGATCAAATTTAAAGACACAGATCGCCGTCAAAGCGTTATAACTTATTATTATGTCATTTATTTTTGTGGTTGTTTTATTCCCTTCACAATCGGTATATACAACCTGTGAGCTATATATATATATATATAAGTGAAACCTCCGTCGTGTTCATATTATACTATAGAAAAGTATTTTAGACGAGCAACTCGAATTTATATACATAATTAGTCACAAGTTCATAACAATCAGATACCATGCCCTATAAATGGCGTTACAGAAGATTTCGATTGCGAACAGAGCACGACGAATATATAATAATGTTATAATAACGCTGCAGAGTTTAAAATTTCAAAACGAGAAAAAACGTGCAATATGATAAGCTCGATTACGCTCATCATCATCCGTCGATCCGGTGGGTTCAGACGAGAGTTTTTCTAGGACATTTTTCTAAAAGTATATATATTAATTTTTTTTCACTATAGATATAATAATAATATGTAAAGACACCGCGGGATTATTCTGTTACACCCTATATCCTCCGTGGGCAATAGTCCTACATATACATACGACTGAAATATATGGAAACACAATACTATTTATGCGTGACGACGTGCGTCGTGTATTGAATTTTATTTCGATCCGTGTAGTCGACACAACTCGTATGAAAAAGTTTTTAAAAAAACCCCATGTATAGTAGTTCAACAAACAGAAGTCGTATATTATTATATATACATATTTTTTTTTTTAGCGGCGCGTACTCTGTACAGTATATATATATGTGTGTGTGTGTGTGTGTATTTAATAGTAGAATTATTGCCAATTGTGGGAGGATGGTTATTTTTATTTGTGTGTAACATATAATATGGGGCACCCCGTCGGTGAAAGTCATGATTTACGGAAATACTCGCGGTTGTAGCGATTAGGAAAGTGCATATTAAATCATAGACGTGATATCATTGTATACGGACGCGCGCGCGTGTGTGCGAGTGTAACTGTAATAATATAATATAATATTATATTGATGATTTATTGACGTCGTCGAATTTATAGATCGACTTGGATTTCGCGGACTGTTTGAGCCGCTGTGCAGAGCTATTGTATACACATTGCGGTATACCTATGTAAAGTATTATGGTAGGTATATGTTATACTATAATATAACGCGTACCTCGGCGCAACGAAACATCAAATAAATAATAAAATATAAATATTACTGTATAGGTATATGAAGTTTTTGTGTATGTTTTTGTGTTTTAAAATGTAAATTTTTTTAACCGTACAACATTATATTATAATTGTGTCACGGACCAGACGATTTTTATATCGCTTGCATTTTATTATTGCTCGGGAATTAAAATCACGATTAAAACTTAACGGATTCGTGTTCAACGACAGTTTGCATCAACAATTAAAAGTGTTTTCAACAAATTCAATAAATAACGATTAACATTAGTAACTCTTAGGAACGCACGGATTACATTTTATAGACATGCACGGCTAAAATATAAATATTATGCATCGTGTTTTTTTATTTATTTTCTCGCAGTGTTAGCTTTATTGGAAAATACGGTGCCTCCTCTCCTTGTTAACATTTATTTTATTTTTTAATTTCAAAAAATATTCCGTGTTAGGGACGTATACATAATATTGCATCCAGGTAACTATATTGTATATTATGTAAGTCATATGTTTATATTTAATATCAGAGACTCGAGATTATGTAAGAGTAAAAAATAACAAACATTAACAACACTTCAACTGCAGCCGTTTAATATTATTATGATTACCTATGCGAGCTATATCGTTTTCCGAGTAGGTTTATATTTTTATTATAGCGTAGAATATAGCTGGTATCCTACCCACATTGTACATATAGACGATTTTTATAAACTGGAATTTTTACATTAAACACGTGTATAGAATTACTATGTAATTATAAGTGTTCCGAAAAATTCGGTTTGATATAATAATTAAAAAATTAAAAACTAATAACATTCGAACTATATCCATACACACGGATAATTAATAAAATATTTAATTACGAAATTATAATAGCATACATGGGTAGGATTTACCCTATAGTTTTTTTTTTCATTTTTAATTTCATTATTATATTAGTACAATTTTAAACTCGTTTTTTGCTCCCATGCTCACGAGGTACATATAATAATATATTATAATAATCGGTACCTATATAAAACGCGTATTCCAGTAAATCCTGTTTACAGTGCAGCGTGATATCTCATTTAAAGTTCTACATACAATGCGCATAATAATAATAATAATATATAAATATTATTCCGATTTCATATATTATAGGAACGTGGATACATACTTGGGATGTGTGTGTAAGTGTGTGTTGTGTGTAGGAACTACATATAATAAATAAATATACCTACCATATATATATATATATATTATGGTGTACATGAAATAATAAATTAATACTATATTTTAATTTGTGCAGTTCTGGCGATAGGATTTGCACGAACGAATTAATTGCCAACGTCTGTTATACTATAATTTAATATAATATGATGGTAGAAATGGTTTAAAGTGTTAAAAACATATAAATATGTAAAGTAACGGAAGCCCGCAAACATTTATCATCGAAAGCGTTTTTCAATCATACTCGAACATTATGAACAAAAAAGAGTGACAATTTATACTTATATATTTTTTAATATATAGGTCGAGACTCGAGCGAGTCTGTTCAACGTCTGAGTCGATACGGAAAGATTCCATTTCTCATTTAAAATATTGTGTATTAAA